CCCATATGACACTGTACCGCGCGGCGCCCAGGCCTGGGAAGAACAGCCCAAGTCCCCCTTTTTCTATCTACAACCGGCGTACCGTGGTTGGGCACTCGCGCCGGCTTACCTGGACCGCGCAGTGGCTGCCCTGTGCTCCCTCCTTTGCGCCAGTCCTACCGTAGTTCGCGCAGGTTAACCAAAAAAGCAAACTCTTGTCCCTTAATCAAATCCAAAACACGGTCCGGGTTGGTCGACTAGACCGGCCGCCCACTCAACCAGCAAAATCACACGCACGCCTTAAAACTGCGCGCCTACATACACTCTATTCTAGTCCACCATCCAGTCAACGTAAATTACAGACGCAGCCGCGCCTAGCGAGATATACTTAAACTTTAAACCAAAACAATTTTTTGTCGCTTCCAAAAACCAGGGCGGATACCCTTGTAAGGGTATTCGCATCGACATCGTGTCACGCTCCTGGGACAGCACTGTCAATCTGACCACATACGGACCGTAAGTGACGCGCGTGCTGACCAAACCCATCGTCTTACTCACGCGGTAAAACCCATCAGTCGCGCCCCACATTTTCTGGTTGTCTCTCCTTCTCTCCCTCTCTTGATTGCCAGTCTTATTGCCATGATGTTGTCGTGAGACGACCTTCACGGGCTCATTAGCCCTGGTTGTCCTCACTCTCGCTCTCTTAACTGTCTCTCGCATCTCTCTCGTAACTGTATCACTTTTCTGTCTTGCCCTCATTATACGTTGGCCCTCTCCATGTACACGTGACGGTTAACTCTGTCACATCCCCGCACATGAACCTTGCATAGTGAGCATGCCAAAACCTCTCTCTTGCCTGCTCGTCCGAGAAGGTTGCGGTAGCGATTCTCTCGCCTTAGTCCTCATGTGCGTTCACTCTCTCTGTCTTGTCGTGCGTTGAAGTCAAGTTGACGTCAGCATCTCAAACACACACATTGCGCTTGCCTCCCCCATGGTCTAGTCTCCCTCTTGTGCTTGTTGTTCGTCGCGTCCCTATTGTGTGAATTGGCCTACTGTCACCTATGTCCCTCTCTGCTTCCGCATCGCCGCCCAGGGGTTGTTACCCGTGTTTTACCCATCAGCTGAGTATGTACACGTCACCCCCATGATTCGTTCGAGACTAACATCAACAACAACCGGCCCGCCCCGATGCAAATAGTCCCTTTTCTCCCTTAATCTCAGTCCCTTCACTGGGCAGAACTAGCCTCGGGCCCATCCTCTAGCGATTCCGCTGACGGGTGCTCTCTTCGCCACTGCTCCAGTCCGTGGAATGACCTCGTCTGTGCATCGCTGGCCTCGGACTCTGCTTCAGAGTCCCGGTCCAGCTCCTACTGTTCTCCCTCGGTCGTACTCGTGGAGGTCTCCTCTTCATGGTAAGTAACCGTTACCTTTAAGCTCGCAGTCACCCCGTCCCTTCTTAACCGGCGCTCGGCTCGGTCACGAGCCGCAGTAATTACACCGTGAACCTTTGCATCCTCCCTCATCTCCTGCTCCTTCCCTTCGTAAATGTTTATCTTCAGCCTTGCTAAGCTGTCACTTTTACTGTAGCTCAGGTAGGCGTCTACGGTAGCCCCTTCTTCGCGCATTGGTTCCCAGTTCCAGTATAATATTAGATGGCCTGACCTATAGCCAAAGAGGCCATTGCTACGCGCCATAGCCGCACTATTGACAGGTCCTGCACAACGTTAAGCCGACCACCCAAAGTAACAGTCTCAAAGACTTATGTTGTTGATAGTACTATCAAGCAACTACTCGCGAGCAGGGTTCTGGCTCTCAGAGTGAAGGGCGCATCTGGCATCTACTAGCAATGATGTGCACTCCACATATTCATAGAGGGACTCGAGAACAACCTCCCTTTTATAAAGCATAGACATGTCGAGATCCCCGTGCACTAGTGAGAACTCAGATAATGGTTTGGAGTTCCAAAATTAATAAAAAAAAAAAAAAAAAAAAAATTTCAAACATAGGAAAAACGAAGCTCAATGGTCAGGACACGAACAGAGCCCCGCAGCGTTACCATCGCTCTCTAACCGTTGCGATGTGACTACAGGTTCAGCATGGTGGTCCCATAACGGGACACCGACCACCAGATTTTCTCCTCAAAAGAAGCCCTCGAGTTATCACTACCAGGTACTCGCGTCCGATGGCAAGGAGGGGGTTCATGACCTCCTACAGGGGGTGATGAGCTTCCTACAGAAGCGGCCCCGGGTGCCCCTATTTTGGGGTTCTGCGCTGATTGTGACCTGCCGACTAGACTTACAGTAAAGGGAAACGTAGGGCCTGACAGTCTATGCCATCAGATTATTCAGGTTCGAATTCGAACCGTTCACGGCCTTTCCCTCGAAGTGACTACAATCAAAAGAAAGCCGCGTCTAAGAGTTCAAAAATACTAATACTACTAATAATAATAATGAAAAAAAGAACGAATACGTAACGACAAAGTGACTAAAGGTCGTCAGATTTCCCCAAACTAAGGTAGGCGGTTTCAGTCGTGCAGATTAGACCTTTAATTTTCTTTTCACTTTTTTTTTACATTTTTTTTTTTTTCTTGTTTTTTTTGCTTAGCCTCTCTTTCTCTGACAGCGACCACCGCTCCAAGCACCTAGCCCATAACCTGACCAGGGAGCGATCGGCACACAATAGAAAAAACCACGCTGGTCTATTTACTTCTGCGTCCCTTGGCGAGCCCGGCGGCTACCACGGCCACAGGCCTGTAGTGCTCTGCTGTACAGCAAGGCGCCGAGCTTGCGTCAATGGAAAGCCTAGTGGCGCACCCTTTTGTTGGGTGCAGTCACCGTCTCAACCGATCCATAGAGGGGGGGCTATTCGGATTTTCCAGAATCATGGAGGTTTGGGAGCAGCCCGACGAGCCACAGGCGTCCGAGCAAGGTGCTGGTACCAAACAGGAGCCTGACGCACAGAGGAGGGCCGGGACACCTCGCCCTCCGACAACACTGCTGGTTCAACGCTGCGTTCCTGAGTTGGAGGCTGAGCACCGGAAGGCAGAGGGGCGGAGGCCATACCTGCGATGAAGGGGACTTACCTAGCGCCATAGCTGAGACTGCCTGTGCGCCCACGACCTGCTCACGAAGACAACAGGACGGTGGTCGGTTCGGTGGTAGCACCTGCAGGTGAGACAACGAGGAAGGCTTCTTCTTTTTCGCCGGTCTCCCCCTCGTCTCCCTCGTTCCTCCTTCTTTTCCCTCCTCCTTCTTCTTTTTCTTCTTCTTTTTCTGATAAAAGAGAGAGAGAGGTTACAAGTAGAGGATACAGGCAAAGGTTATTGTGGGCACATCGCCCAGGAGCTGATTCGACATTCTTGAGGCAGACATTGATTGGAGATCGGTAAAGGAGTATTTTTGGACTTCGCTATTGCGATATTGGTCTTCACCCTCGCCTCCATCTTTGTCTCTCCTCTTCCCCTATCTCTCATCTGTGCTCCAAAGGTGCGTGTACAAGCAGGGACCTTTCTTCTATTTGTGTGGTCCCTCCTCCTCTCACATGTGTGGTGAATGATGGGATGTCGCGTCAGCCCCGGTCAGGTCAGGACTTATCTTTCAGTCTTCCGCTGTGCTATTTTGTGCTATTTTGTATGTATCGGGATGTACATTTCCTATTCATGTTTCACTGACATTGCATAGTCCATTTAATCATTTTCATCACATTGCGGATTCTTGGCTTCATGTGCATTGCCCAACTGGGCATATATCACTTCCTCTCAATGAACTGGCGTGCTGCAACTGCCTGAGCACCCACAAATGAAAAATGTCAAATTTTGGCCTCATGTGAATATTTAAGCCTGCCTTCACTCAGGGCGGGCATGGGGCTTGCTAAGGGCATCCGCCCAGACTATATGCATGTCTGATATGGACCCTCCAAGGGCTAATTCCTCGCACAGCGCAACTGCCACAACAAAACAAGCAACTTATTTTATTTATGCATGCACTCATCCACACGTTCCTCTGGACGCGGGGTTGGGGTTAGTGTCTTATTGGCCGTCTGACCTAGCAGTTGGTTGCCTTTAATTTAAAACATCTAAATCTATATCTATCGTCAAACATAGCCGCCCAGTAAATTGTAGGCAAAGACGGAGAAGAGGACACCAAACGAGGGGTTGTGATGAACTATTTCGTTACAATTTCACCAACTCATCAGGAGGTTGAACCCTGTATATATATGTATTAGCTAAGCTCCCACGGTGCAGGCAGTGCGGGCCATACCCACAAAAATAAAAATTGTTGTAGGCAACCTGCCACGGACCTTTCTCATAAACTGAGGCAAACTTTAAAAAAAAAATAAAAGAAATCACAAGATAATAAAGAATAGCCTAAAACTGGCTTCAAAGTCTGAGTTTAATTCACGAATTAAAAAAGTGACAAATAGAAAAGAAAAAAAAAACAGGAGAAAAGGCGAGGAGAGACAGAGACATACAAAGAGAGAGAGAAAGAAGAAAAAAATAGAGATAGATAGATCGAGAGAGAGAGAATGAGAGAGAGAAATGAAGAGATATATAAAGAGAGAGAGAGAGGGGAGCAACAAAAAAACAAAGAATAAAGGAAGACGGACACGAGTGTAAAAAAAAAAAAAGTTTCATATGAAGATTTTTCGTTTCGTTACAGTAAGCAAGTAGCCGAAGTATGATCAACGCACAATTATCGTGTAGTGGAATCATTGTTGACCTAAAAAAGTGCAATAATATTACGATAAAATTATTTAAGTCGTTCTTTTTTTTTTTTTTTTTTCTCTCTCTCTCTCTTTCTCTCTCTCTCCCTCTCTCTTTCTCTCTTTCTCTCTCTCGTCCCATTTGTTTGTCTCTCTCCTCCCATATCTCTTGTAGCGGAAATCACGTAACTGAAACCGAAGATGATTATCTAAAAATTTTTCATTAAGGCAAGGGTTGGATGACCGCCCAATGAACATTTTTCTCTTCATATATCTCTCATGAGACAAATCAACTTCCTTCGCTGGAACGATACTCTTGCAGCACCTCACGAACAGAAACTCGTTGCAACACTTTGCGACGATACTCCTCGAAAGTTCTGAATCAACCCTGTCTTTGCCGATTGTAATCAAGATGAATTACAACATTCACGCACCTTCAAGTGTTAACGCTCGTATTCAATTCCTCTACTGCTTCCACAATATCTTGAATCCTGTGAGAACTGTCAAGAGAATCATATATGGCAATGTTAAAATTAAAAGAACTAAGTTGTCCCTATGGTCCTGCATGAATATGTATATGTTCTGTTGATGGTGTAACAACGGGCATAACATAAGTGATAGGAGACGGCGTAGCCGTAGCGGACGACAAAGCAGAAACAACAACAGAGGTAGTGATAATCGGCATTGACATATTGGACGCTAGAGCAAAATCTGCAACATGTTGAAAATTTAGAAGAGGTGCTGCTTGAAGGAGGAGTCTACGGACCGGTGCGGAATGAGGAGCGAGACAAGCAACCACGGGAGGAATCCTTGTGAGAAGGTTTTGTATCCGTGCATATCTGTGAAAGAGTTGAGGAATTGTCCCTTCAGTCGGACAATGTGGCAAATAAATTTTCATATTCGTAATTTCCTCATTAGAGAGAGCAATAAACTAATCGTTCAAAAACGATTGTAACGTAGAAGAAACCTCTGAATCTGAAACATTCAACGGGTTTGAAGGAAAAGAGCATCGTCGTTCTAACCGCATATTAGTGAGTTTGTTTCTTTTGCAGTCAAGGAAGTTTTCCTATATTCGTCAATCTTTTTACGAATGCGACACTTTTGACAAACATTTCAAAAAACAACTAAGTCAAGACATTTTGCATGTCAATCTACTTCGCATCGTCAAACCATCAAGCAACGTAAGCACGCGGATTCGGAGTGCGGACTCAGAGCGCATCGTTATCGTCGGGCACCACAACGACCCCCGAAGGATTTTGTGGTTGCGATGTGGCGCAAACATCTTTTTCGTGTTCGCTGCTTTGAGATTGCGAACATGAATCACGAACACGTGCACATCCAGTGACCCGTTCATAAAATGAGAGAGATACGAGTGCATTATCGGGGAGCGCATTCAGCCCTCTCATAATCTGAGTTCCCGTTTCAACAACAACAGGTTGTTGTCCCGCCCGATTATCGGCCAAGGTAGGCTCCGACATTTCGGGGGAACTCAAAAGATTAATTTTCACACCACGACTCTTTCTTCTCTTCAATGTAGATTCAACACGGTCTTCTTTCGAATCACCCGTAACGTTTTCATCCTCGTCATCGGGAAATGAAAGGATATTAGCCCTACTTGACAAACCTTTACGTGAATAATCCCCATCAACATGACAATCGCCACCACTCCCCTCCACAACCATGTTTTCAGCATCAACAAGGGTATTCCCTTTCGAACATGCAGGTTCAACTTCGTTAAAAACAACATGATCGTCCTGAGCATGTTCACTTCCAAGATTGACCGATCTCTCATCATTTCCACTTTCCTTTTATCTCTCTAAATGTTCGGTTTCAACTTTTAACGTAACATTCAAATCAAGTCGAGTGGTGTTGCTGGTTTTCATTGCTTTTCTGTCAGCACGAGTGTTATATTTATGGTCCATTCGGGAATCACTTGCGAAGAAAGAAAATGATAAAATTCATCGGAATGCCAAGGCTCAAAAAAACAAAATTTCAACAACTCCTTCGAAAAGT